TCCCAATCCACCTATGTTTATTCATTCTCATCCTTTTCTTCGTGTTAGTGTTTTCATGGTACATAAACTATGAGTCAAAATACGAGGACATGTTTATTCTATTAGAATATTATTAATAATTCATATTTATTTAGTTGTACTATTTTCTTGGCCCCTAAGTTTGTTAGAGGGTATTTTAGTATTTATCTTATTCTAGTAACCCTAGTTTTAGCTTATAAATAGGGTGACAATCATTGTAACAAATCATCATGTTTGTAGCCGTCATTCTCTTATTAGAATATTTCCTATTTCATCATTTATTCTATTTTGCACCAACAATTGGTATCTAGAGCTCCGGTTCAGATTCATTGGGAAACACGGGAAACACGAGTGAACGTGAGGTCTTGTGTGTTTGATTTTGTTTCTCAGATTCTTGTTGAATCTTGAACAAAATCTGATCAGAATTTTTTTAAATTCTGTGGGTTGGGAAACACTGTGTGAGAAAACTCTGAGTGTATTGTGCAAAGTAGAAGATGAACGGAAACGGCAACATGAACACCAAACTTCCAGTATTTGATGGTAAAAACTGGAATCGTTGGATGATCCAGATGCGTGTGCTGTTTGGTGCTCAAGATGTTCTAGATCTTGTCACTGATGGTTATGTTCCAGTAGCAGCAGATGCAACTGATGAACAGAAAAACGCGCAGAAGGAAGTAAGGAAGAAGGATCAGAAAGCATTGTTCTTCATTCATCAATGTGTGGATGTAAACGTGTTTGAGAAGATTGCAGACTCTACAACAGCAAAGGCTGCATGGGACACTCTGGTGAGATGTTATGGTGGTGACGCATCAGTGAAGAAGGTGAAGCTTCAGTCCTTGAGAAAGCAATATGAGAATCTCAACATGAAGAATAATGAGAAAGTTTCTGAATACATCTCCAGAGTGATTCTGATCACTAATGAGATGAAGGCATGTGGAGAAACTCTTTCTGAAGAAACAATCATGGAGAAAGTGTTGAGATCCCTTACTCCTCAATTTGATTACATTGTGGTAGCAATAGAACATTCCAAAGATCTGAGCACCATGAGAATTGAAGAGCTGCAGAGCAGTCTAGAAGCGCAAGAGTTGCGTCTGACTGAGAGAAACTCTGAAAAGGAAGTAGAACAGCAGGCTCTGAAAACAACTTCTGATAGGAGGTATCAGAAGCAGTCAGAAGTCAGGAGAAGATCTGATGGTGGTCAGAGGTCAGAAAGCTCAACCTCTGATAGACAAAAGAATGCTCAGAGGGGAAAAGAGAAGTATGACAAAAGAAAAATACAATGTTACTGTTGTAAGAAGTTTGGCCATTTTGCTAGAGATTGTTGGTCAAACAAGGAGAAGAAATCAGAAGAAGCAAATATAGCCAGAGGCTCTGATGACGAATCTGTGCTGTTGATGGCCTCTGAATCTGATAATGTGGATCTGACAGACTGGTGGTATATGGACACTGGCTGTTCAAATCATCTTACTGGAAACAAGAAATGGCTGGTTGACTTTGACTCTGAAAAGAGAACAAAGATCAGATGTGCTGATGACAAATATCTTAATGCAGAAGGTATGGGAAATGTCAGAGTGACTCTGAACAATGGGAAAATAGCATTGATTCAGAATGTGTGGTATGTACCTGGCATCAGAAGCAATCTGATGAGTGTGGGACAATTAATTGAGAAAGGTTTCTCAGTTACCATGAAGGACAATCTTCTGAAGCTGTATGATTGTAATCAGAAGTTGATTATGGAGTCAGAACAGGGAAGGAATAGAACATTCAAGGTGAATGTCAGAACTGCAGACTCAGAGTGTCTTAGTGCAACAAGTACTGAGAAGGAGAGTGAGCTGTGGCACAGAAGATTTGGTCATTTGAATTTCAGAAGCTTACAACATCTGAATTCAAAGAAATTGGTACATGGAATTCCTGCAATTAAGAAGCCTGAAAAGTCATGCAAAGTTTGCATGGAAGGAAAACAACCAAGATTGCCATTTGCATCAGAAGTTGCTCCAAGAGCAAAACATGCCTTGGGAGTTGTACACTCTGATGTGTGTGGTCCATTTCCAGTAGCATCAATTGGAGGGAATAAATACTTTGTGTTGTTTGTTGATGAATTCACAAGAATGACATGGGTATCCCTTATTAAGTTCAAACACGAGGTGTTTGATGAATTCAAGAAGTTCAGAATGAAGGCTGAGAATCAGAGTGGTCAGAAGTTGAAGATTCTTAGAACTGATGGTGGAGGTGAGTATAACTCCAAAGAGTTCCAGAAGTTCTGTGAGGAGAATGGAATTGAGCATGAGGTTACTGCTCCTTATACCCCTCAACACAATGGTCTTGCTGAAAGAAGAAATCGTACTTTGCTTGATATGGTGAGAAGCATGCTAAAGGAGAAGAAGCTTCCTCAGAAGCTCTGGGGAGAAGCTGTTGCCACTGCAACGTATGTACTCAACAGATGTCCTACGAAGAAGTTGAAGGAAATAGTTCCTATGCAGAAGTGGACTGGAGACAAGCAAAGTGTTAGTCATCTGAAGGTGTTTGGTTCTGTTTGCTATAAACATGTTCCAGAAGCCAGAAGACAGAAGCTGGATGATAGAAGCAAAGTGATGATTCTGATAGGGTACCACAGTACAGGTGCATACAAGCTCTATTGTCCAGAAACCAATAAAATTGAATTCAGCAGAGATGTGATTGTGAAGGAATCAGAAGTTTGGAATTGGGATAAGTCTCAATCTGATTCTGATGTTAGAACCTCTGAAGAAAGGTCAGAGTTAAGAACTTCTGAAGTTGAAATAAACTCTGAAGTTGATTCTGACTCTAATAGTGATTCTGACTCTGGAGAAGACTCAGAAGATGAAGGTGACTCTGATGATCCAGACTCTGATGGTAATCCAGATTCTGGTGGAAATTCAGACTCTGAAGATGGCCAAGGCTCTGGAGGAAGTCAAGCCTCTGAAGCTAGAAATTCTGAAGTTCAAGACTCTGGAAATATGCCAGATCCTGAAGTTGGTCAAAGCTCTGGAGAAAGTCAATCATCTGAAGCCCAAGACTCTGAACAAGTTCAGAGACCACAAAGAATCAGAAGCGTTCCCAGAAGATTTGCAGAATTTGACATGCTGCAAGACACTGAAGTAGACTCTGAAGGAGAAGTTATTCAGTGTGCCATGTTAGTAGACTCTGAACCTATAAGTACAGAGGAGGCTCTTAAGCAGAAGCTCTGGCTGAAGGCCATGAAAGAAGAACTTGATGCTATAGAGAGAAACAAGACTTGGAAGCTGACAGAACTTCCAAAAGACAAGAAAGCCATCAGCGTCAGATGGGTTTTCAAGCAGAAGTTAAAGCCAGATGGTTCAATTGGCAAACATAAAGCAAGGTTGGTAGCCAGAGGATTTCTACAGAAACCTGGGCTGGATTATTCTGAAGTGTTTGCACCTGTAGCAAGACATGAAACAATCAGAATGGTGATTGCAATAGCTGCTAACAGGAATTGGCCTCTGATGCATTTAGATGTAAAATCTGCATTTCTGAATGGTCCATTAGAAGAAGAAGTTTACGTGTCACAACCTCCTGGATTTGTGAAAAAGAATCAGGAAGGGATGGTGTACAGATTATACAAAGCTCTATATGGATTGAAACAAGCGCCCAGAGCTTGGAATCAGAAGATTGATTCATTTTTCAAGAAGCAAGGCTTTCAGAAATGTGAGATGGAGTACGGTGTCTATGTTCAGCATACTTCTGAAGGCAATATGACTCTGGTATGTTTATATGTTGATGATATACTATTGACTGGAAGTTCTGAACAGGAGATAGCCAAGTTCAAGAAGGTTCTAATGAATGAATTTGAAATGACTGATCTAGGCAAAATGACATACTTTCTAGGGATGGAGTTCAGATATTCTGAGAAAGGTATCATTTTGCATCAGCTCAAGTATGAATTAGAACTTCTGAAGAGATTTGATCTGAAGAATTGTAAGATGGCTGTCACACCTTCTGATACAAATCAGAAACTGGATTCAGACTCTGAAGGAAAGGATGTGGATGCTACAACCTTCAAACAGTTGGTTGGTTCTCTGAGGTATCTGTGCAATACCAGACCTGATATTTGCTACTCAGTTGGGATGGTTAGTAGGTTCATGAGTAAACCTAAGTGGTCCCATTACCAAGCTGCTATCAGGATTCTGAGGTATATCAAAGGAACTCTGAAGTATGGAGTGTTATTTCCCTCTGGAGGAAATAATGAGTCAGAACTTCTGAGTTATTCAGACTCTGATTGGTGTGGAGACAGAGTTGACAGAAGAAGTACATCTGGGTACTTGTTCAAATTTCTGGGAGGTCCCATTTCTTGGTGTTCCAAGAAGCAACCTGTTGTGGCGTTGTCAACCTGTGAAGCTGAATACATTGCAGGTGCTGTTACTGCATGCCAAGCTGTGTGGATTCTGAATCTGTTGCAGGATCTGAAGATTAAAGTAGACAAACCTCTGAAGTTGATGATTGACAACAAGTCTGCAATCAACCTTGCTAGAAACCCAGTGCTGCATGGGAGAAGCAAGCATATTGAGACCAAGTATCATTTTCTGAGACATCAAGTTCAGAGTGGAGTGTTAGAAGTTGTACACTGCAGCACTCAGAAGCAGTTGGCAGATGCTCTGACGAAAGCTATCAAAACTGATCAATTTCTCAGATTAAGGGATGGAATTGGTGTCACAAGTTTTGATGGAATATGAATTAAGGGATGGTATTAGAATATTATTAATAATTCATATTTATTTAGTTGTACTATTTTCTTGGCCCCTAAGTTTGTTAGAGGGTATTTTAGTATTTATCTTATTCTAGTAACCCTAGTTTTAGCTTATAAATAGGGTGACAATCATTGTAACAAATCATCATGTTTGTAGCCGTCATTCTCTTATTAGAATATTTCCTATTTCATCATTTATTCTATTTTGCACCAACATATTCACGTGAAGATTTTGTTAGCCCTAGTTCCACTTATATTGATGCTAGTTGTTCGCTGTCTCTCAAGTGGAGAATCGTTTTCTTTACCTTTGATAGAGGAGAGGGAATCTTTGCATAGAGCTGGTGGGTCTCCATGGGGAGTGGGACTCTTGCTTGTGTTCCTTTTGTTCATGATAGGTTATCAGTCTTCTTTTCATGAACGTTGGTTTCCTTTGGCTAGCAAATGAAGAAGGTTTGTCTGGTGTTTGACACTCACGTGTAATATTGTCGATTATCGACACGATATAGCCGCGTATAGTTTGTAGTTAGAAGCAAACGCTTTTAGTTTCTTAAATCTATTACCGCTGTATATGTTTTTGTTGTTGTTGGAGGACAGACTGTGAACTCTGTAATATTTTTCATATAATAATTTTCATGAAGTCTGTTATAATGATTTGCTTTCCTTTTAGATTAAAGTTTAATTATTTAAAACTGGTTTTTTAACGATAAGGAATGGTTATTATGCTTAGCTACGCCATTGTTATACATGAAGGCTCTGTTAACATTCAAAAGAATTTTTTTAGCATGGTTTTAATTTGTTGTTGCATTTGTATATGTGGTTGCGGTTGTGATCGTAGTGGTCGTTGTGACGTGCCTTGCAATGGTTGTCATGTTTTAGATATTGGATCGAACTTTAGTTAGTATGTCGTCGAAATTTGCTCACATACTGTTACATGTTGTAGTCGAATTGTGTTTTAGTATGTAGTTGTTGAATTGAGTCTTGTGTTAAGGATCCAATTGTTTAAGTTAGCTTGTACCCTAAGTTAGCTTGTAATGGGTAATTGTTAAAAAAAACTCATTAGTTTAGTATGTTAGGTTTTATTATAAATAGCATACTATTGTCTCATCTTAAGTGTGGTGTGGCAAATCCTAATTAGGGTGAGAGAGTTATTTGTTATTCTTAAGTACTTGTAATCTAATTAATAGAGAAAGTAAATAATAACAGTTATTATCAATCCTTGTTGTTTTTCCTTGTTATTTCTTGTTAACCCTAACCCTTGTGTGTTTCTTGCCTATAAAGAAATATAGCATATTTTGTTTTAAGGCATCCTAATTCACAACAAATTGGTGCGATGAGTAAGGAGAAGATGCCTTCAACAAAGTACGAGATTGAAAAGTTCACTGGAGTTTGAAGATGAAAGCCCTACTGGTTCAGCAGGGTTGTTTGGAAGCGTTGAAGGGAGAGGCAGCCATGGACGATGCGTTAATGGAAAAATAAAAGACGACCATGATAGAGAAATCCCGTAGCGCAATATTGTTGAGGCTTTGTGATAAGGTTCTTCGACAAGTATCAAAGGAGACTACGACATCGAAGTTATGGTTGAAACTTGAAAGTTTGTACATGACCAAATCTATGGTGAATCGACTCTATCTGAAGCGAGCTTTGTATTCATTCAAGATGAGTGAAGACAAAGCGTTGGCTGAGCAGATGGATATATTCAACAAGCCGATTCTTGATCTTGAAAATATTGATGTGAAGATCGATGATGAAGATTATGCATTGTTACTGTTGTGTGCTTTGCCCAAAACACATGCTCACTTCCAAGAAACTCTCATGTATGAAAGGGAGTCCCTGAGCTTTGAAGAAGTTTAATCAGCCTTATATTCTAAGGACTTGAACGAATGAAAGGAACATAAACCTTCAACGGTTGGTGAAGGTTTGGCCGTTAAGGGAAAATTATTGCGAAAGGATGGTAAGTTTGACAAGAAGAAAAGTAAAAGTCAACAAAAATTTTATAGTGGCGAGGCGTCTGGTATTCGATGCTATCTCTGTAAGAAGGAGGGTCACACAAGAAAAGTTTTCCCTGAACTCCTGAAAGATCATGGAGCTAAAGGTAATGACAACGCAGCCATTGTTCAATATGACTTTGAATCATCTGATGTTCTTGTGGTTCGTTGCACTTGGCACATGAATCCAAATACAGAATTGTTCGAGGAGCTATATGATCAGGATAGTGGATCAGTGCTGCTGGGAAATGACAAATCTTGCAAAATTGCAGGTATTGGATCTGTGAGATTCAAGCTCCATGATGAGCCAATAAGGTTATTGACTAAAGTCAGGTATGTATCTGATTTGAAGAGAAATTGTATTTCTCTTTGTGAATTCGACAGGAAGGGATATGTTTTTCAAGGAGAGAAAAGTATCCTAAGAGTCATGAAGGGGTCGAAGGAAGTCTTGAGAGACGTGAAGAAACAAGGCTTGTATACCCTTGAGGCCAAAGTTGTAAGTGCTTTGACAAATGTTGCATCCACGAAATCGTTTTCGAAAATAGAAATTTGGCACATGAGATTGGGTCATGTCAGTGAAAAGGGTCTGGTCAAATTAGGGAAATAAAATCTGCTTGGAGGAGACAAAGTCGAAAAGCTGAAATTTTGTGAACCTTGTGTACTTGGAAAATCTTACAGAGTGAAGTTCAACAAAGGTAAACAAAGAACTCATGGATCCCTTGATTACATCCTTGTTGATCTTTGGGGGCCTGCAAGGTGTCCATCACATTCAGGAGTAAGGTATTTTCTATCCATAGTTGATGATTATTTCAAGAAGTTATGGGTAATCACCCAGAAGACTAAGGATGAAACTTTTGAGAATTTCAAAGGCTGGAAGACTTTGGTCGAAAATCAGACTAGCAGAAATTTCAGGACGTTAAGAGCCGACAATGGTTTTGAATTTTGCAATGAGGCGTTCGACAGTTTTTGTGCTGCCTCAAGTATTGCAAGGCACAAAACTACTGCAGGTACTCCATAAAAAATGGTTTGGAAGAAAGGTTTAATCGAACTATTTTGGAAAGAGTTAGATGCATGTTGACTAGTGTTGGATTAAAGAAGGTGTTTTGGGATGAGGTTGTTTCGATAGCAACATATCTGATAAATAGATGTCTTTCGATTGTGTTAGACATGAAGACACCTGAAGAAGTTTGGTCGGGACATCCACCTAGTCTCGACAGACTGAGAGTATTTGGCTGCATGGCGTATTCTCATATTAGGCAAGACAAGGTCGAACCTAGAGCTCTGAAATGCATGTTCATGAGATACCCTGAAGAAATCAAAGCTTATAGATTATGATGCCTAGATCCAGGTCACATGAGGTGTATCACCAGTTGAGATATAGTTTTCAATGAAGCTGGGATGACTTTGAAGAAAAGTGATGATGTTAACGAAGAGCTAGAACAAATTCTTGTTGTGGTGGAGCATGTTGATGCTAAATTGCATACCCCAGATGAAGTCAAAGCAGAAGAAGAAGTTGTTGTCGAAGATGAGGAGAATGATAATAACTACCTGCTAGCAAGAGACAGGTCGAGTAGAGTCATCAAGCCACCTCAGAGACTTGGGTATGCAGATCTTATAGCTTATGCCTTAACCTCTGAAAGTAAGGTTCTCGACGAAGAACCTAGAGACTATAAGGAAGTTATGAGGAGTCAAAAGAAGACTGAACGCCTGAAGGCCATGAATGATGAGATGAAATCTCTTCATGATGACAACACCTGGGAACTGATCAAGAAACCTGCTGGAGCCAGGTTAGTTATCTATAAATGGATTTTCAAAGTTAAGGAAGGAATTGAAGGAGTGGAGTTGAAAAGAGACAAGGCAATATTGGTCGCTAGGGGTTTCACTCAGAAATAAGGTTTCAACTTCAATGAGGTGTTGTCTCCTATTGTGAAGCACAGATCCATTCAAATGTTGCTTGTCACGGTGGCACAGTTCGACTTTGAACTAAAACAGATGGATGTGAAGACTGTGTTCTTGTATGGTGATCTAGATGAAATAATCCTGATGAGGCAACTTGAAGGGCATGTCGAAAAGAGGAAGGAAGATTATGTGTACAAGCTGAAGATCCTTATATGGCCTGAAACAATCTCCTTGACAATTGAATAGGAGATTCGACAAGTTCATGGCACGCCTAAGTTTCATTAGAAGTTAGTTCGACCAATGTGCTTACTTCAGATTTCGACCTGGTAATTCATTTGTTATTGTGTTGCTTTATATGGATGATATTCTAATAGCAAGCAACAATGTCGAAGATGTAATGAGGGTGAAGGCTGAACTCAATAAGAAGTTCGACATGAAGGATCTGGGATCTGCGTCCAGGATTCTTGGGATTGACATCCGAAGAGATAGAAAGCAGTCGAAATTATGCTTATCTCAAGAGGCATACCTGCGGAAGATTCTTGAAAAGTTTGGTATGTCTAATTCAAAGCCTATTGTGACTCCGACAAACCCTTAATTCAAGTTGAGTATAGATCAGTGTCCCAGTACTGATGTCGAAAGAGCTTATATGAATAGCATTTCATATGCTAATAAAATGGGTTCTTTGATGTACGTTATGGTTTGTACTAGACCCGACATAGCATATGCATTAAGTCTTGTAAGCAGGTACATCGTGAATCCTGGAAAGGCTCACTGGCAAGCATTGAAGTGGATTCTAAGGTACATAAATGGGTCTCTGAACAGATTCCTAATTTATGGTGGAGCCTTGGGTGAAGATAGTAAAGCAGAAATCAAAGGATATGTCGAATCAGATTATGCAAGTTGTATGGATTCCAGAAAATCTATTTATGGATATGTGTTCACTATGTTTCGCATAACAGTTAGTTAGAAAGCAACACTTCAGAATGTTGTTTCCTTATCAACCACTGAAGCGGAATATATCCCCCTAACTAAAGTTGTGAAGGAAACATTGTGGCTTGAAGTTTTTGCAAATGAGTTGCATTACGTCAAAGGGGTAATCGAGCGTGGAGAATTCCAAGTCATGAAGGTTTTGACAAATCATAATGTTGCTGATATGATCACCAAGACGTTGCTCAGGTGCAAGTTTTTCCACTGTATGCAGTTGATAAAGCTACATGAAGAAAGCTAGTTTGTTTCTTGATAGTAGAGTTAGATTCAAGGTGGATATTTATTAGATATTGGACCGAACTCTAGTTAGCATGTCATCGAAGTTTGCTCACATGTTGTTGTCGAAGACCTACATGCTGTAGTCGAATTGTGTTCTAGTATGTAGTTGTCGAATTGGGTCTTGTGCTAAGGATCCAATTGTTTAAGTTAGCTTGTATCCTAATTTAGCTTGTAATGGGTAATTGTTAAAAATCACATTAGTTTATATGTAAGGTTTTATTATAAATAGCATAGTAGTCTCTCATCTTAAGTGTGGTGTAACAAATCCTAATTAGGGTGAGAGAGTTATTTGTTA